GAGCGGCGGCAGCGTGGTGACCACCAGCCAGGCCGGGGGGGGGCGCGGGGACCCAACGCGGGGGCAGCGCGATTCGCCCATGGCGCGGGCATGGTTTGCAGCCATATCCAGTGCGTCGTGGACTTTTTTTCGGAAGAGGTACGGACCAAGGTCGAGCCTCCAGGGGGGCAGATGTCTATCCATACCCAGGGCGCCTCAGCTTCCCGGGGAAGGGGGCCCGAAAGTCTAGCAAATCATGGGAGCCTGGCGTGCCCTGATAATTCCGTCTCTAGCGTCGGTGAGCGTCGAGCAGCGTCTGGGAGTCGATAAAGATAGCGCCGCTTCAGCGCCGATCAGCGCCGATTAGCGTCGATTAGCGTCGACTAGCGTCGATCAGCGTCGGTTCGCAGAGCCGACAAGACGGCATGGGGGGCTCCCACGAATTGCCACCGAAGGTGCGGCGACACCCGATCGATCGCCCATGGATCGCCGACAGGACGATCCTCAGCCCCTGTCCGAGGTGCGCGAGATGATCGCTCAGCGCATCGACGCCGACGCCGCGAAGGTGCAGGCCAGGTTCGAGCGCGGCGCCGCCGCCGTCGCCTCGCAGGCGGCCTCTGCGCAGCCGGCGCAGGAGGGCCGCCAGGAGCGTCGCGACTGCCGCCCCCCGCCTCGTCGGCCGCCGCCGCTGGCCGCCGTCGCTGCCGCCGCCGCAGCTGCCTGCGATGCGCCGTCGTCGTTGCCGCTGCCCAGAGGAGGAGAAGATGCGGATACTGGAGAGCTCTCGTCGCCATGGCTGGAGTCTCCTCGACATGTTTCCGAAAACGCACCTGGGGAAGGTCTGGCGAGTAGCGGTATGGGCACCTTTTTCGGTCCCCCAGTCGCTGCTGCCGCCGCCGCTGTCGCCGCCGTCGCCGCTGTCGTGCCGTCGCCGTCGCCTTGTCGTTGTCGCCGCAGCGGTTGTCGTCGTCGTCGTCGCGGCCGAGGTGGGGGTGGATGCCAATGCAGAGGTGAGAGTGGAGAGGCTGGCGAGACAGACCGAGATGGAGAGGAGACGTAGGGGTTGCTATCGGAGGAGGAGGAGGGATGGGAGAGGGGGGTAGATTAGAGGAGGAATTGGGATAGGGGGAAGATGGAGGAGGCGGAGGGGGAGGAGGAGGCGGAGGGGGAGGAGGAGGAGGAAGAGGTGGAGGAGGAGGAGCAGCAGGAGGAGGAGGAGGAGAAGGAGGATGATGATGAATGGATTGATGGATGGCTGGATGGGGCAGGGGGGAGTGAGGAGGAGAAGGAGGAGCAGGAGGAGGACCAGTGTACACCCAAGATTCATCAACGGCGTTGGAATAAGCTATCCCTCTAAGCTCCCTCTTCATAGGTCCCTACAAGGGCTCATTTCCAGTGAGGGAAGTGCCCCGTCGGGAGACAGCCGTTTGAAGATCCCGAAGCATACCAAAACACCGTTTTTACAACTTCAGCGCCACGAATCCAATGTGCGTGTTGTGTCTAGACGGTCCCGACTCGTGCCATAACACCATTCCTGGGATTTCAATACCGAGAATTGACATACTTGCTGCGCCATGACAATCCTGAACCGTTTCAGAGCATCATTTTTGGTGACGTTGACCTGGACACCCTGTGAGACTCTTGTAAGTCTTAAAAACAAATGTGCGCAGCGCTAAGACGAGAGCTTTTGAAAAGGAGCCGTTCTCAACAAGTTCAACTCTTGCAATTGTTTACATGTGCGCGGCGCTAGGACGAGAGCCACATTTTGAAAACTTCGCGCCCTCAATCCGTGAAGCTCTTGCAATTTTGAAAACGAAGTTGCGCGGCGCTAAGGCGAGAGCCACACATTGAAAACGACCCGCCCTCAATCCGGGAGGCTCTTGCATTTTTGAGGCCAGTGTGCGCGGCGCTGAGGCGAGAGCCACTTCTTGGAAGCGGCCCGCCCTCCATTTATGAAGCTGTTGCCATACTTAAGCTTCAGGATCGTAAATGGCGAGGAGATCTCAGGCGAAACGCCTGGCTCGCCCTTCCGACTGGCCTCGGGGTGCGACAGGGAGGAGGTATTTATCAGGACAGGATTGGGGGAGGAGGAGGAGCAGGAGGAGGAGGAGGAAGAGGAGGAGAAAAGGCAGGAGGAGGAGGGATGGGGCACGGGGGAAAAAGGATAATGATGATGCTGTTGATGATGAGTGTGATGATGATGCTGATGCTGATGATGCTGATGATGATGTTGATAATGGTGATGAGGACGATGGGGAAGCTGATGCGGATAATGATGCTGATGCTGATGCTGATGATATTGATGGTGGTGATGATGGTGATGCTGATGATTATGAAAAGGAATGAGATGACGATGATGATGAGAATGCTGATGATGATGATGATGATGATGATGATGATGATGATTATGGTGATGACGACGATGCTGATGATGATCATGGTGATGCTGATGGTGAAGATGATGATGATGATGATGATGGTGGTGATGGTGATGATGATGATGCTGATGATGATGATGATGATGATGATGATGATGATTATGAGGAACGTGGTGGTGGTGGAGGTGGGGTGGTGGTGGTGGTGGTCGTAGTGGTGGTGGTGATGATGGTGGTGGTGGTGATGATATGATGGTGGTGGTGGTGGTGGTGGTGATGATCATGTTGATGTTGATGCTGTTGCTGTTGTGATTGTTGTTGTTGTCGTGGTTGTTTTCGCTGGTGTTGTTTTTGTTGATGTTGATGTTGATGTTGATGATGCTGATGTTGCTAATCTTGGTGTTGGTGTTGGTGTTGCTGTTGCTGTTGCTGTTGTTGCTGTTGCTGCTGCTGTGGTTGTTGTTGTTGTTCTTGTTGTTGTTGTTGTTGTTGTTGCTGAACTCTCACTACGAAATAATTATTTTTGTTGACCCCCCTCCGGTGACCTGGGTTGCTTCCCCTGGGGCTCGCACTCTTTCTTTTATCAGGGGAAGTCGCTAGGCTCAACCTGTGCCCCTGGCCCCCAGGTTACAACAACAACGGCTCCCGCTTAAGACTTCCTCACAGTTTAGCCAGGACTCCCGTTCCCGCCTGAGACGTCCTTGAATTTTACTCAGGAATCGTGCTCTCGCTTGGGACTTCCTTAGAATTTATGCAGGAGCCGCCCTTTCGGCGCTCTGGAGTCGCGCCCTGGCTGGAGACCTGTTTGCAGCTTACTCGAGAACCGCGCTCTTGCATTTTGATTCCCGCCCAAGCGCCGGGCTCCCGACACTCAGGCACCCAGGAGTCGCGCTCACGCTTAGGACTCCCTCGAGCAGCCATGGCCCCTGTTCCAGCCCTTGGTGGCCCCCTCGCTTCGCTTCCTGGACCCGTTGCAGCCCTTCGCGGCCCCCTCGCTGCCCTTCGTGGCCCCGCTGTCGCCCTTCGTGGCCCCCTCGCTGCCCGTCGTGGCCCCGTTGCAGCCCTTCGTGGCCCCCTCGCTGCCCTTCGTGGCCCCGTTGCAGCCCTTCGTGGCCCCCTCGCTCCCCTTCGTGGCACCGCTGCAGCCCTTCGTGACCCCCTGGCTGCCCTTCGTGGCCCCACATATGTATGCCTTTCGTGGCTCCCGCTTGTTCGCGCCCGTCGTGGCCCCAGATGCATGCTCTTCGTGGCTCCGCTGTCGCCCTTCGTGGCCCCCTCGCTGCCCTTCGTGGCCCCGTTGCTGCCCTCAGTGGCCCCGTCCTTGCCCTCTGCGGCCCAATATAAGTATGCCCTTCGTGGCCCCCGCTCGTACTCGTCGTCGTAGCTCCATATGCAAGCCCTTCGTGGCCCCGCTGTCGCCCTTTGTGGCCCTTTCGCTGTCCTACGCGGCCCCGTTGCTTCCCTCAGTGGCCCCGTCGTTGCCCTCTGTGGCCCCTCATTATCTCCCGTTCGTGGCCCCTGCTCGTTCGCGCCTTTCGTGGCCCCATACGCATGCCCTTTGTGGCCCCGCTGTCGCCCTTCGTGGCCCCCTTCCTGCCCTTCGTGGCCCCGCTGTCGCTCTCGCTCTCGCTCTCGCTCTCGCTGTCGCTCTTACTTTCGGTCGTCGTCGTCGTCGTCGTCGTCGCCGCCGCCGCCGCCGCCGCCGCCGCCGTCGTCGTCGTCGTCGTCGTCGTCGTCGTCGTCGTCGTCGTCGTCGTCGTCGTCGTGGTCCGTCCCCTGTCCGTCCCTCTTGGGGCTCGGTTGCCGCCGATCAGCGTTGCCGCATGCCAGGCCGACGGTCCGCGGCTTGCTGGGGCCCGTCCGGCAGGAAGACGAAGAGGGCGGGTATCGAGGGTTCGGGAAATACGTGTTGCATGGCACTCGAGCAGATAAGAGCGAACAGTCTTAAACTGATTGTTATTACTGTTGCTGCTTGTTATTGTTGCTGTTGCTGCTGTTGAACTCTCATTTCTGAAGAATAATTATTGTTGATCCCCCCACCGGTGCACACTGTTTTTTCTAAATCCCTCGACGCTCGCCCCTGGTTTTTTGACAGGGAAAGTCTTGATGCTCAAACTGGGCCCCTGGCCCCAGGGTTACAACAACAACGGCTCCCGTCTGAGACTTCCGCACAATTTAGCCATGACCCCCGCTCCCGCCCGAAACTTACTCGCATTCTATTCAGGAATCGCGCTCTCGCTTGGGACTTCCTTACAATTTGTTCAGGAATCGCTCTTCCGGCGTTCTGGAGTCGCGCTCTCGCTGGGGACTTGCTTGCGATTTACTGAGGAATAGCATCCTTGCGTTGGATTTTCTTGCAATTTACTCAAGCGCCGCGCTCCCGACACCCAGGCACCCAGGAGTCGCGCTCACGCTTAGGACTCCCTCACATATTACCTAGGAATCGAGATCTCGCTGCTCTTCGTGGCCCCCGTTGCAGCCCCTCGTCGCCCCCTCGCTGCCCCTCGTGGCCCCGTTGCAGCCCTTCGTGGCCCCCCTCGTTTTGTTTCGTGGCCCCGTTGCAGCCCCTCGTGGTCTCCTCGCTGCCTTTCGTGGCCCCGTTGCAGCCCTTCGTGGCCCCTTCGCTTTGTTTCGTGGCCTCGTTGCAGCCCTTCGTTGCCCCCTCGCTGCCCTTCGTGGCCCTGTTGCAGCCCTTCGTGGCCCCGCTGTTGCCCTTCGTGGCCCCCTCGCTTTGTTTCGTGGCCCCGTTGTAGCCCTTCGTGTCCCCCTCGGTGCCCTTCGTGGCCCCATATATGTATGCCCTTCGTGGTCCCAGCTCGTTCGCGCCCGTTGTGGCCCCGTATGCATGCCCTTCGTGGCCCCGCTGTCGCCCTTCGTGGCCCCCTCGCTGCCCTTCGTGGCTCCGTTGCTGCCCTCAGTGGCCCCGTCCTTGCCCTCCGCGGCCCAACATGCCCCCGCTCGTTCGCGCCCGTTGTGGCCCCATGTGCATGCCCTTCGCGGCCCCGCTGTCGCCGTTTGTGGCCCCTCACTGTCCTACGTGGCCCAGTTGCTTCCCTCAGTGGCCCCCCCGTTGCCTTCTGTGGCCCCGCATTATCTGCCCTTCGTGACCCCCGCTCGTTCGCGCTCTTCGTGGCCCCATACGCATTCCCTTCGTGTCCCCGCTGTCGCCCTTCGTGGCCTACTTCGTGTCCTCCATGGCCGTGCTGTCGTTCTCTCTCACTCTCGCTTTCGCTCGTCGCCGTCGCCGTCGTCGTCGCCGTCGTCGTCGTCG